TGGCAAGATCTTTTTGGATAAGGTCGTGTCACGATGTTTTTTTAAAGTTGAAGTTAGCCAGCCAGAAAAGGAGAAAGGGCATTATAGGATTTACAAAGGACCTTTTTAATGGTCACAAAAACATTAAAGGGCATGGTATGTTGGAAAGACACAAGAAGGTTAGTCCTACTAAACATAATGCAAGTTGGGGAACAGCAGATGGAGCTGAAGTCAAAGGTTAGCAGACCCTAGATCTTGAAAAGCCTTATAGACTCCATGGCAGCTACTGCATTTTAAAGTTTAGGGGATTCCCAGCCAGTGTTGCTCAATGAACCAGGAGGTCATGGTTTGATTTTCAGTCAAGGCCAGGTTGCGGGCTTCCCAGTGTGGGGAGTGCAGGAAGCAGCAGATCAATGATTCTCTCTCATCATTGATGTTTATATCTCTTTCTCCCTCTCCTTTCTTCTTTGAAATCAATAAAAATATTAAAAATAAAGTCTTGGAGATGGAGGGAAGAAATGGAAGTCTTACGATACATTAAATTTGAATACATAGAATTTGCCCAGCCAGCAATGTGGTTCAGTGGTTGAGCATTAGCCTATGAACGGTTCAATTCTTGGTCAGGACACATGGCCAGGTTGCAGGCTCCATCCCCAGTATGGGTGTGCAGGAGACAGCCAATAAATGATTCTCTCATCATCGATGTTTCTACCCTATTTCTCCAAAGAAAATAAGACAGTGTCATATTAATTTTTTCTCCCAAAGTTGAGCTAGGTCTTATTTTTGGAGGATGTCTTATTTTCAGGAAAACACGGTATATCTTTCTCCCTCTCCCGTCCTCTCTGAAATCAATCAAAATACTTTTTTTAAAAGTAGAATTTATTTTGCCCCCCCAAATAAATCCACTTTTCTTTTCTTGAAAGACCTAGATTTGTAATACTTTTTTTTATATTTTATTTTTTTGTAATACTTTTTTTTATATTTTATTTAGAGCATATCTGCTCATTTCAACAGCAAACTTGGGTTATCCCACCCTCAGAGCCTTTCTGGTCCTGTGAGAGTTATTACTTGAATTTCCATTCAGCAAACCATGCTCTTCTCGACACTGGCTTCATGACTCCAACTCTAAACTGAAGGCCAGGTATGGGCTGTTACTAAAAGGAACACTTTTAGTAACTCCAGGGACCACTATCTAGGAGACCCGCTGTTGGTCTAGATCAGTGGTTGGCAAACAGCGGCTCAAGAGCCACCTGTGGCTCTTTGGCCCTTTGAGTGTGGCTCGGCGTTAGAACCACTTCTTCAAAATAGACTCGCCCAGGCTGAAAACTGACTTCTGTGCATGGGCCACGAAGTTTCAATTGCACTGTATGTGTGCACCTGCACATGGTATTTTGTGGAAGAGCTGCATGTGGCTTGTGAGCCTCGGTTTGCTGACCACTGTTCTAGATGCAAAAGGTAATAGAGAAGTATAACAAAGCAGAGCAAAGGAAGGAATGAAAGGACAGTAAGGAGACAAGCAAAGAAAAGACAAAAGATGAAGAGAAGGACAGGGAAGAAAACAGAAGGGGAAGGATATGAAAGGTCACAGGAAGGAAAAACAAAGAAACAAGAAAGATGCAGTAGAATGAAAGATTTGTGTGCCAGGTAACTTTCAAAGTGCGTCATATCAATTAATATTCAAAATACCTCTCTGCAAGGTGTTATGTTCCTGCTTGCTATTTTAAGAAACTGAGGCTTAGATCAGCTAAATACCTCAAAACCATATAACTAACCTCTGTGACAAACTGGATTTACACTTTCTAACTCCAAAACCCACAACTTTTCCATTGAAATCTCTACCTTCCAATTTGAAGTCAGATACTGGATTTGGATCAGATACTTCTGTGCCCTTGGGCATTTACTTTGCCACTTTGGTTTTTTAGGGTTTTTTAATACTTTTTTTTTAATTGATTTCAGAGAGAAAGGGAGAGATAGAAACATCAATGATGAGAGAGAATCATTGATCGGCTCTCTCCTGCATGCCCCCCACTGGAGACTGAGCCCATAATCTGAGCATACATCCTTGACCAAAATTGAACCTGTAACCCTTCAGTCCATAGGCTGACACCCTATCCACTGAACCAAACCAGGTAGGGCAAGCCATTTTGAATCCGTTTTGGCAACTGTATATTAGGGATTAGGATAATTGTCCTCCTTTCCATCCTATTTATTGGAGGTGGCAGTGAGATGATATACATGAGAATACTATATACATATTAAGGACTACATAAAAATAAGGGATCACTAATACAGCAATAATCCATGCTGTGTTCTTTTAAATCTTAAGTGTTACGGCCCAAGGAAGCTCAAAAGAGTTTTTTACCACTCTAGCTGAAACTACTTTTAAATCAGCTGTTGAAGCTCTTAGTGCATCTCTTTGTACCGTAAACTCTGGCAGACTATTTCACTTGGATGCTTCTTTGGTGACTATGAGCCATTCAGAAGCAAGATAAGCAACTGTGGGATCTTCCAGTGTTGGCTGTACAATTCCACTAGCCTATGGAATATGATGTTTCTACATTACTTCCAGAGCTAATTCAAGTTTTTCAACAGCATGTTCCCTCTAAGTTTCTTGTTCACATCTTAGGATATCAGAATGAAGGTTGGAGATTACTTCAAAAATCTCAAAGACAACTTATATAGTTAAGGGATATCCCAGTCACAATAATGAAGTCATTGAAATGACTTAGTCAACAGAACTACGCAATCCATTCTGTTTCATTAACCACCTTCATGACTCATTGGATCTCTAAAGATGAGGCATCATCGATTCCCAGCTTATTTGCTACCTTAAAATATATCACTCCTATTCCTGATCCTGACTTTACTCCAAACACACTAAAGTGCATGAAGATTATAAGCCACTGTATACAGTAGTATCACAGAACCCATTAAAGGAAATGTCCCCAACAACAAACCTTGAATATTCTTTTGTTTTCCCCGAGGTCATTCCTTCTTTGCTATTAATAGCTACTTCATTCACAGATTTTGACTTTCAGAGAACTTCTACAGTATTAATGTTACTAGAAAAATTGGATTCCACAAAGTGGGAAATAAATCGCTAACCCACAGAACAAAAATACCAAAGCATCCTGTTGTATCTGACCTTGTCTCAGAATCAATTAGCCAAGTTTAGTATTCACAAAGCCCTTCTTGCCTAGCAAGTACTCTAATTTTCTTGGATCCTCAATCTCTGAGGAAGCAATAGAGGATATAGCCAAACCTTAAGAAAGACTATCTTCAATGTCAACATTTCTCAGCAAATGAAGTGGCTCTGTTCCATCTACCTGGAAAGACCTGCACGGTCATCTAACAGTCTCGTGATACTTTCAGCGTCAGCAAAGAAGAAATTAGTAGTCTCCCATTTTCCCCTTGAGTTTACTCCTATGTTCACTGCAGCTTTGTTTATCTAGCCAAAATTTGGAAGCAGCCCAAATGCCCATCAGTAGATGAGTGGGTAAAAAAGCTATGATACATTCACACAATGAAATAATACTCAACTTTTAATAAAGAAGGAAATCTTACCTTGTGTATGGCTGGATCTGGAGAGTATTATGCTAAGTGAAATAAGCCAGTCAGAGAAAGACAAGTGCCATATGATTTCACTTACATGTGGAATCTAATGAACAAAATAAACTACCAAACAAAATAGAAGCAGACTCACAGATACAGAGAAGTAACTGATAGTTGTCAGTGGGAGGGGATAGAGGGACTGGGTGAAAAGGTAAAGGGATTAACATATTAAGCGCCCAGCCTGTTTGTCTTCCAGACAGAAAGTATGTCAGTCACCGGTGACTGACTGGGCTCTTAATGTGTTAAGCAAAAAAAATTATAAATAAAAAAATAAAACTCATGGTCACAGACAACAGTATGGTGATTACCAAAGAGAAAGGTAGGTGGGGGGAGGTAGAATATGGTAAAGGGAATATAAGTGGTGATGGAAGAATACTTGACTTTGAGTGGTGAACACAAAATATACAGATGATGTATTATAGAAATGTATACTTGAAACCTATATTATATTACTAACCAATGTTAATCTAGAAATTCAATTTTAAAAAAAATAAACACCAGTTGTTTTTTCACAGAAAATAATAAATCTATATTTAAACAAAGAGTTTTCTCCTCCTCTACTAAACACTCAAGAAAAAGTGACAAGCCTAGCATTCAACATTTAAATAACATGTTTCTCGCAACATGTTATGAGCTTCCAGATACAGAAGCATAAGAAGTCACCAAGCACTCACAGTATAACCATGATATTTCTGAGAGATGAGCAGACCAACGTTCTATTCAAGTTTCAAACCAAATAACCTAGCGACTTTCCTTTCTTCTAAGTCTGTAATGTCCTTTATGCTTCTATTTCAATATGAAAAGTCAACGGACAGTAAATATTTAGCAGAAAAAAAAGTAACATTGTCCAATATGGGAAAATATAAATATACACCAACTACCTGAAAATTTTGCTTTCAAATGGGCAACATAAACAAAAATAATTTAAAATAAAAAACAGCATTTTTTTTAAAGTACTATATATGTTATAGACTAACCAGCAAAATTTTATACTAAATATTGTAAATGTCTCCTAAATTCTAATAAATTTTAATTTCTAAAAGTTATCAGTCATTAAATAAATACATTTTTCTAAAGAATACTCCAATATTTTGCATTTCAGATATTTTTAATATTTTTATTTGGCAAAGAGAAGCCTAAGAATTTTTTTAAAAAACATTTTCAGAGGGAAAACCTTTTACCATAAAATAAATTTGTGTGATTTGGGAGGGCAAATCTCAATGTATTTTTTTGACATATGTGCCAATCTTACAATTAATACAAAAAAGATAAAGTTAGCTGAAATATCTTAAAAATGTAAAAATCAGTCCAGCCATCATAACTATATAATCTTGCTGTAAAAGTACTTATATCAAATTCTGCCCAAAATATTTATGCAATATAGTAAATTTAATTCCTCAAGTCACCCTTCACTGCCGGCTGGCTTTTCCATTTTCCGTTGTCTCCATTCTGAAAAACAGAAGGGGGGAAATGAATAGGTAAAATAAAACATTAACCATCCACATATTTTTTTCTCCTTACATACCCCTTTTATATGAAATTAAACTCCTATTATATATACTCATCAAGCAGAATATCAGCACCTTAGAAAAGAACGAAGGTTAGGGCTCCTCTAGTTGGTCTCACTGCCTCATCTTGCAGAATATTGAAAATTGAGGCTCAGAGAGATTAAGTGACCCTCCCAGTTTCCTTTCAAAGGCCATGTTTTTTGCTATACTTCTGCAAGCAAAATTAAGGAAAATACTTCTGATATTTAGTAAAAGGTGTATTTCTTTTTTCACTAAAGAGGTTCCTTCGCCATACATCATCGAAAGTTCTTCTAAAAAGATTAAAATAATCAAAACTGAGATTTATTCAATTGAAACAAATATTCCTAATATTGCATTACTTAATCAAAAAATATTTTCCTCCATTATTTTATAGTCAGTGTTACATATTAAGTTTCCTCTGATTTTTTTTCCCTTTATGATATTTACTGAGCGATGAAAGAAATGTGCTATGAAGTAAAAACTTTCAGAGTTACAATCAATATACTAGTAATCATGCCTTTTTCATGTACTAAGAATCAAAGATGTTAATTTTTTTCTCTTTATAGGTAATATGTATTGGTCCATATTTCTAACAAAAATTGCTGAACATAACAAACAAACAGTATTCATTATATGTTAACTTATAAGGCAACTAACAAAACTAATTTCTACAATAAATAATACAAACCCATTTTCTTCTTTAAGATGTTGATATAACTCAGCTCTGTTATTAACAGAGTTTAAACGTCCAGCAAACTCCTGATGTTTTCTCGAATTGGCAGTATTGATCCTATTACTCCATAAGGTTAATAAAGACACTGGTCCTGTGTTATATATTGGGAAGAGGAGAAAAAGGTAGAATAGTTCATTACTTTGAAATTTATAAATTTTTAAAATTTACCTTTAATTCTATTGTTTTATACAATTAAAGCAATATCATCTTCACCTTATTAAAAAAAATGTTATGTGTTTAGGGGGTCCCTACTAGTTTGGTGATTTGCTGGAAGGCCTCAAATGACTTACATAAAGTTAAAGCCACAGCTAAGAATCCTGCTCATCCCGGCCCTGCTGCGTCTGCTGCCACTGCTCGGGAGGCTTGTTGCAGCTCCACTGTGGTCACCAGGCTGCAGTGGCCAGCTGTGAGCCCTACATCTGATGCCCATCGGTCAGCTGAGTGGCGCTCCTGCTGTGGGAATGCACTTACCACCAGGGGACAGCTCTTGCATTGAGCATCTACCGCCTGTGGTCAGTGCACATCATAACAAGCAGTTGAGCAACCTTAGCGTATCATTAGCATATTATGCTTTGATTGGTTGACCTGACGGACACTTGGCATATTAGGCTTTTATTATATAGGATTTGGGGGAATGGAAAGGCTTGGCTTTTAAAACATTCCCTAAATGAGAACTTCTTTTGTCTTTCATGTGAATTGAACACCTGCTTTCCTTCTGGGATCTGTAATTTGGTAGTTGTAGTTTGGCAGAGAATGACTTTGTGAGCAGCAGCTAATAAAAACCTTCGACTCTTAGTCCCAAATGGGCTTTTCTGGCAATAGTATTGTACACATGGTGGGATTAGGCACTTTGTGTGAACCCTCACTGGAGGGAGAGAGCACAGAGAAAGCCTGCAAATAGATTCCTCTCATCTTTGTCTTCCTAATCTGCTACGTATACTTACTATGTTGCTCTAATGATTCTTAGCTGTGGGATGAGCAGTGACAGACTGCCGGTTTCAGCCCAAACCCCACAGACTACGCCAAGGGAACCCACCGGTGCACAAGGGGCCTCTAGTATTAAGTAACACTGTACAAAATAGAACTAAGCTTTTTATAAACATAATTACCACAGTTCTACCTTACCTTTTGATTTTTCTACTGGTGGGGTTTCATCCATCTCAACAAGGGGCTTTTTGTTTGGAGGTTCTGGGGAGTCAGGAGAATCTTTTATAATTTCAGCTTCAGCCAATTCTTCTTTTCCACGTTCTAAGATGCCTTTTAATCTTTTAGAGGGACAAACGATAAAATTTAAAGTTTAAATATTTAGAAATCAAAACGGTTCTATAAACTAGACTTTGCATATCAGTCTTAATAAAAGATAGCTGTTCTTACAAAGTAAATCTAGAAACTAATCAGAAGCTAAATGCCAATCTAAAATCAGGTAAGAGAACTTAATGAATTAAACACAAATATTCCCTTTTCTTCATCATAACAGTGTAATAATTCAGTAATGTAGTTTGCTGCAAAATATGAAAAAAAATGGGAGAAAAATTTAAGAAGCTAATATTAAAAATAAAACTGATATTTGGAAGAAATATCACAATTTAATATTTAAAGATATTGGCCAAAAAGCACTTCAAATCATAAAGAGTAATTTACTATTATTTGTTCCCTAGTTTATGTACTGTGGATATGTATTTGCATTGCACAAGTTAGAAACCTGATTCCAAGCTTATTTTGAATTTCCCAAAGGAACAAAAACACTTTCAAAATACATAGACATACACTTGAATAACAGGGGGAACTGAATGAGAACACTCTCCCCCCTCTCTTCTTTATTCACCCTCCTCTTAACATGAGCCAATTCTGTTTCAGAAGCTTGGTGGCTCTAAGGAAGAAGTGCATTTCTAAGGCCAAGAGAATAAAAATGTTCTACATTCTACTTATTTTTGGATGAACTAATATAATTTCTAGAATTAGCTTCAAAATATTCCATGTGGGAGTTGGACAGTGGTAGTGGTGAGGGGAGTGGATGTGAAATGTGCCATGAATTGATAATTGTTCAAAGTAGATGATGGATACATGTGTATTCCACAGTAGAATAAATGTTTGAAGTTTTTCATAATCAATTCTGATTTAAGGGACATACCACATTGCCATTATAATATTTACCTGGTTCCTTAACCTGATTTCTGGCAAGAAGTTAGAAGACAAAGCCAGTTAATATGTTACGCTAGTTTTATTTACAAATCACAAACTAAGGAAAAAGATGTACTATTGAGGAAGGTTTTCAGAATTAGGACTATGCTCTTTCACTGTGCTATCAAGGGCATCTTTGCCTTTTTTGTAACAGCATCTTCCACATTTTGTTGTCATCACTGACTTACTTGCCTATTTCTAGCGCAACACTGTATCTTCTTCCAAGGCAGGAATCTTATGTTAAATGCCTGTCACATCACAGGTATTCAATATTTACTGACAAAGAAATAAAACTATGTCTTTGATATTCATAAAACATAAATACTGACACCAAAATGTCCTAAATTATAATTTTCTGAAGTTAACTAGGATAAAAATGAAACACAACCTTTGTCCCTAATAGTAAAATAAAATCATTAAGTCTACGATCTTTTTTATTTTAAGTATGACAAAATCTTAGTTATAAATGAAATACACATTAAATGAACTCCTATTAAATGAGGGTTGATCCAAATGCAGAATGTGATACACCAAAAGGCACCACGGGGCTAATATCAACAATCACCTCTCTGAATCTTGCCAAAACTTCTCCTGTTCATAATCTTTTACTGCTTTCTCTGATTTGTCCTCTTTGTCCTCCCTCTTTCTTCCTCGTTTCTTTCGTTCTTCTTCTTCTGGGGGTTTGCTCCTGCAGGCCATCAGACATTCCAATACCCTTTGATGTTTCTCCGAGTTATTGATATGGGCTCTTACAAGGGTTTCTAATTCGTTCCACATGATACGGTATTGTTCATCTCTGAAGTAAAGATTTAAAATAACAATCTTAGAAATACTCTTTAAGTAATATTAAAGTTTCCCTTTCTACTAGCAAAGTAAAAGGAAATCATTAAACATGGACTTATTTTCTCTTCCTAAACATAAGGGTACAATTTTCAGTTATAATGTATCCAATTCTGCTATTCTATAGCATTTCATCTCAATTATATATGTATACATACACCTGCAAACATAATTTACATATGGAATAAGTTAACTTAAAATAAACTATATATCAAGTCAATATGACATGTAAAGAAAAAAATTACCTTTTAGGGCCTTTTCCTCTTGTACCAACTGTGGAAATAGGTAGAGGATCATTTTTTCTTTCCATATCAACTAAGTTATATATTGTTTTCTGACAATTTAACACATCTTCTTCTGTCAAAGATTCTTTCACAATAACACTGGCTAATGGAACTACCTGTCACATTTAAAACAAAAACATAAAACAAAATCTGTCTTGAAAAACAAATATCAAAGTATGTAGGCAGAACTTCAATCGATTTTAAACATCACTGTGGTGAGATCATATATAACTTTCACTTCAATTTTCTGTTACTATTTAACTGTAGCAAAAGCAGATATTTTATTCTTTGATTCAGAAATGGTCTCTGAAAAGAACAAATAGTCTAGAAGAAAAGTTGAAACTATTTAACACTTACCGCTTGCATGTTAAAAATGGTGGTTTGTGAAATAATCATAGGCCAGTAACGGGTGTGTTTTTCTAACTGATCTTTTGCTCGTTCCAAAGGGATCTCAAGACTTCCATCGATTTTATATCTGGGGTCTAGAAAAGGAGTTAATCTGTTTTCCCTCATAAATTCACCAAAATCCTAATGATAACCAAATAAGATAAAATTAGAAACTATTTTCTAATGTTTCAGTATGGATTACATGTAACACTGTTTCCCTGATGTCTTCTGTCCTGTGATATGCAACAAAGCATTTTCTCCTACAACTCCCCCTACCACCCACTTTTCTTCACTCGTATAATTTAACTCTTTAAATCATATACAGAAAAAAGAATGAGTGAACCACCTTCTTTGAATGATGGAATTATAAGTAATTTATAGTCTTTCTTTTAAAGATATTTATATCTCTAAATTTTCTACAATAAATATTTATTAGTTTTCTCCTTATTAAAATTTTTTAAATAATAAAAAAAGCCTAATCAAAAACAATTACAGCATATAACACTTTGGTTTACAAAGTATGCACTCATACACATCAATCACATTTAATTTTCACAACCACCTCAAAAAGAAGACAACGATAAAAAAACAACTATAATAAATTAAGGGAGGAGGAGTGAAAAATTAAAATCAGAACAATGGAATTTCTATCAAAAATAGAAACAAATTTTTTTGTAGGCACCTTTAAATAACACAAAGATTTAGTTTTACTTCTAATTAGCAGCAATCTAACTACTGAAATGTTTTGTTTGCCATTTAAGTTACTTCTACGTATACACTGAATACATAAGGAAGACTACAGATTGATAAATAGCTCTTTCAAGCAACTACTGCTAATTAAAATAATCAACTTCCAAAACTCCTTTTTGTCCCAGATCTTATCATATAATAGGCATTCAATGACTACTTGCTGAATGAGATTACACTCAAATCATAAAATTTATAGATATTAGAGTCTTACTGTGATCCGGTAGTCTGTAACTCTTCCTCCACATCCTTCACTAATTGAAGGCGGATCTTCTAGAATGGATCGAGAACTACTAAGGACGTGCAAAAATATCTCTCCTCCATGGCTACTAAGCATATGACTGATGACTTTGGAACCTGACTTTCGTGGTTGTTCCAATAAAACAGAACGACCTGTCAAAAGTAATGAAATTCAAATGGGCTCTTATTTTTCCCCTTAAGGTTTATGTCTAGATTTTTTCATTTTATTTATTAACCTCCTATTTTTAACCAGCAATGCTAATTTAGTTTTTCCTGTGTTTCAAGTCCAAAAAGTCTGAATTCTAGCCTTAGCTTTCTCTTGGTCACTCCAAGCTTACATAGTTATACAGGTGGTTTTTCCAACATAAATATAGTGGTCTCCAGTATAATGTTTGATTATATTCTTCATTCAATTACAAGTTCATATAAAATTTTCTCTTGGACATTAAGAAGAAAAGTGAGACAAGTGTTGGATAATCCTCAAGTTGTCAAAGCAATAAAACATATGGAGGAGAAAACAAAGTCTAAATTTACTTCCACAATACCTGCTTTCAGCATTATTATTGTAACTATCGATACTTTCTATTTCACATGAACAAATGTTATTTAACCTAGACTTTACATAGTCTGATAATCAAATTGTGCTTAATATAACTTTGAAATTAATCTTATGATAAAGGCTGACCAACTTGTCTTATCAGTGATTCAAAAACCAAGTTGATCATAAGAGTCTATTAAAAGAAGCTATTAGAGTTTAGATTTAGTAAATGAAATCCAATAACTTAGTTTTCTAAAGAAACTTTCCAGGCCCTGGTTGGTTAGCACAGTTAGAGTATTGTTCTGATACGCCAAGGTTGCAGGTTTGATCCCTGGTCAGGGAACATACAACAGTCAACTAATAATACATAAATGAGTGGAACAACAAATTGATGTCTCTCTCTTTCCATTCCTCTCTCTCTAAAATCAATAATATTTTAAAAATAAATGTTTTTATACAAGGAAACCAGAGATTTAAGGTCATGTGTTTAAGAATAATATAGTAAAATATTTAAAATGTTTATGATGCCGAAACCGGTTTGGCTCAATGGATAGAGCGTCGGCCTGTGGTCTGAAAGGTCCCAGGTTCGATTCTGGTCAAGGGTATGTACCTTGGTTGTGGGCACATCCCCAGTAGGGAGTGTGCAAGAGGCAGCTGATCGATGATTCTCTCTCATCGATGTTTCTAACTCTCTATCCCTCTTCCTTCCTCTCTGAAAAAAAAAAAAAAAAAAATCAATAAAATATATATTTTAAAAAAATAAAATAAAATGTGTATGGTAAAGGTATAGTGTTTTACCATATATACTGTACAATTTAAAATTCAATAGGCCAAAATAAATGGTCTGAACTTCACTATCTTAAAAAAAACAAAAACATGCAGACTTTAATGGTCAAATTTTTAAATTAAAAATACCAAAAAATATATTAAATAAAACTTACTTGAATTCAGTAGTCTGAAAGACATAAAGTCATCTTAATTTTTAACATTAGTAAACTAGTTAAGGATATTTATAATTATTTAACTTTAAAGCAGTTCTGGGAAATAAAATGGTTAAACTATGTTGAAAAAATGGCTTTTCCAGAGTTCATGATTTCACTTGTAATAATCTCAGTCAAAACAATTAAATGATGAAAGTTACCATTCAGAAGAAAATTAGTAAGGCAGGAAGAAGGTCTACTATTTACATCTACAGGTGAAATTCGATAAGCGCCAGTGCAATAGTGTAATTCTGAAACAGAAGAAAATACTGATTTGAAAGAATATAAAGGAATATTCCCACAAAAGAGAAAAACCCCACTTGTTTCTTAAAGCCATAAAACAATGAAAAACAAAAACTCCCAAGAAAGCAAATTAGCCCTTTGTAACATTTTAAGAAAATTTTAAAATACCTACCAATGTTATTGGTCCTTGGTGTGCACCACTTTAATGTTATTGTTTCTTTAAACGAGCCTTCTCTACTGCTATCACCTTTAAAAATAAATCAGAGAAATAGTAACATTACATTAAGACCACAAATTTCAAATTGTTTACACCAGATTTCTGAAAGAATAAATTTTCTAAAATACCCCTGGGAGAACATTTTTTATGAAGTCTCCTAGAAAAATACCAAATAGAGTTTGGAGATTAGCTATGATTAAAATAAATATTTGATTTCCCTTCTAATTTCTCATTAATTTAATCATCCCAATCACTGCACTTGAAAGCCAATAACAAAACTTTTTGAAATTTCAAGATTCTATAATTGCTCCCTTCTGTCACCATCTTATATAATAAAGAGGTAATATGAAAAATGACACTCATACCCTCGCATCACAAGATGGCCACCCTCACGTCATCACTAAATGGGGAAGGCAGTTGGGGGCAACAAGGTCTGCAGGGGAGGGCAGCTGGGAGTGATCACGCAGACCGGGAGACAGGGGAGAGTTAGGTGTCAATTATGCAGGCAGGGGAGCAATTAGGTATCAATCCGGTCAGCAGGGGAGTGGTTAGGGGACTATCAGGCTGGCAGGCAAAGTGGTTAGGGGCAATCAGGCAGCCGGGCAGGCGAGTGGTTAGGAGCCAGCAGTCCCAGATTGTGAGAGGGATTGGACCTAAACCGGCAGTCGGACATCCCCCAAGGGGTCCCAGAGTGGAGAGGGTGAAGGCTGGGTGAAGGCTAAGACCCTTCCTCCAGCACATGAATTTCGTGCACCAGGCCTCTAGTCTATATATATCAAAGCCAAGCAATAGGAAAGCTGGAACGATCAGAACAACTGAATGACTGGTTGCTATGATGTGCATTGCGGCAGCCAACCAGCCTGATCAGACCCTGATCAGGCCCTCCAACCACTTGCAGCCCCTCCCTCAGCTGGTCCCGCCTCCAAGTGCACCCCCAAACTGATTGGGAGCATGGCTGGCCAACCTCCCGCGTCCCCTCCCCACCACCAGCCCGGTCCTACTGGCCCCCCTTGGGGTAGGCCTGCCAGACCCCACCAGTGCACGAATTCATGAACCAAGCCTCTAGTTCTATATAACAAAAGGATAATAGTCAAATAGACCAAACAGTGGAAAAACTGGTCGCTATGACATGCACTGACTACTAGGGGGTAGACACTCAATGTAGGAGCTGCCCCCTGGTGGTCAGTGCACCACCATAGGTGAAGCACTACTCAGCCAAAAGCCGGGCTCATGGAGAGCAGCAGCCATGGTGGGAGCCTCTCTCACCCTCTGTGGCAGCGCTAAGGATGTCAGACTAACAGCTTAGGCCCGCTCATTGGCTGTCAGTCAGACATCCTGCAAGGATTCCCAGACTGCAAGAGGGTGCAGGCTGAGCTGAGGTACTTCCTGAGTGCACGAATTTCATGCACTGGGCCTTTAGTTAAATAAAATAAGTACTTAAAAAAAGCTTTCAGGAGTCTAAAATGCACAACTAGTTATAGTAAATACTAATGAATGTATGAGAAGTAATATAAAATGAGAACTTAGAAAATTACAAATATATAACATTTAACAGAAAGCATTTTTTGCCAGTGCAGTCTACAGTAAACAGATATAAGTAAAACTAGAGACCTGATGCACAAAATTCATGCAAGAGTAGTCCTTCCTTCCCCCGGCTGCCGACACCGGCTTCCCTCTGGCACCTGGGACCCAGGCTTCCCTCCTAGCCCCTGCTTCATCCGAAAGGCCATCTGGTCTAATTAGCATTATTATGCTTTTATTATTATAGACCAGTGGCCCAGTACACAAAATTTGTACACAGAGCAGGGCTCCCTCAGCCCAGCCTGCACCCTCTCCAATTGGGGATCCCTTGGGGGATGTCCAAATGTCAGTTTAGGCCTGATCCCATTACCAGCAGTTGGACATCCCTCTTGTAATCTGGGACCGCTGGCTCCTAACTGCTCACCTGCCTGCCTGCCTGATCACCCCTACTGCCTATTCTTGCCTGCCTGATTGCCCCTAACCCCTCTGCCTGCCTGCTTGGTCTCCCCTAATCTCTCTGCCTGCCTGCCTGATCACCCCTAACTGCCTCTGCCTGCATGCCTGGTTGTCCCTAAGTACCCACCCCTGCTGGCCTGATCTCCTCCCCAATGGTCCTCCCCTGCCAGTCTGATCTCGCCCCCAATAACCCTCCCCTGTCGGCCTGATCTTGTCCCCAAATGCTCTCCCCTCCCAGCCTGATCTCGCCCCCAAGTGCCCTCCTCTGCCAGCCAATATGGTTCTGATTGGTCAGTTTCTAAGCCAGACAGCATCAAAAGCTCCACCTCCTAGGCAGCCACTGGCTCCTCATACTTCACCCAGATTTGGTTCTGATGGGTCAGTTTCTATGCCAGTCAGTGTCTCTGGGCCTATCAACAGGGCCTGATCAGAAAGGCATGGCTGATCAACAACCCCAGTCAAGTCCTGGAGAGAAATGGAAGTGCAGCTGGGGGCCAAGATCTGAGAGAAAGAAAGAGGCAAGTGCTGATCAACAGCTGCCACAAAGGCTATGGATCAGACCCTGCTTCTCTCTTCAGGCCTCTCTCCGGGCATGATTCACAGTCCCCTCAGCAGTCAGTGCTGGGTCACTGTGCCTGCAGCTGCAGCAGTCAGCGCTAGGTCACCACAGCAACCCAACAATGAATGCAGGACTGACTCCCAGTTGGTTGAGCCTCCGGTTGTGACGGACCCAGAGTTTTTATATGTTAGGATAATAATGAATAAATGCAAACCATAAAATTGACAAAGCTCTGAAGGAGATATATTCAGTGCTATGAGGGACTTTCAAGAGAGATTTGACCTATGTTGAGACAACAGGGAAAGCTTCTTTGATAAGTAAAACTAATTTGAGTTCTAAAAGAGTGAAGTGAAAATAACTAAAGAAATGAAGGAAAGAGTATTCAGGGAAGGAAAACAGCAGATATCCAAATACTGTGGCAGGTGAGAGCATGAAGAGTTACAGGGCCTTTTAGGTTTTTAAGATAAGGAGATTAGGTCCTGAGTATCACTGTGAAAGATATTCTAGTTAGCAGGTCCAGTAGCTACACACACCATTAAGGAGGCTATTATAGGATTCTAGGTAAGAAAATATTAGGCTGGGCCATTAATAGGGAGATGTAATAGTAGTGGAGATGCAGATGTAAATGTATGAGAGATACTTTGGTAGATAAAATCAAGTAAATGTGATCATATACGAATATAAAGAACCATGTGAAGACAGAACAGCCATCTACAAAACAATGAGCGAGGTTTCAGAAGAAATGAACTGCCTAGTACCTTGATCTTTCATTTCTAGCCTCCAGAAGAGAAAATTTGTTGTTTAAGCCAAAAGAAAAAAGAGAAAATGTGGTGATAGATTGGATATGAAGTATGACAGAGAGACATCTCAAAGATGACTCTGAAATTTCTGCCTTATATAAATGAATATCCAAGAGGGTCATTCACTGAAAATGGGAAAATTAGAAAACCAGTTGAGAGGGCAAAGTTTATAAGTTGTTTTTGGAGTAATAGGTGCCTAAGAGACATATTTTAATACACCTAACTTACTGAGCATCATAGCTTAGCCTCGCCTACATGTGCTCAGAATGCAATATCAAAAAAATGCTGGCAACACAGTACCCTGTACAATATCCATTGTTTAACCTCAAGATTCAAGAGGCCCACTGGGACCTACAACTTGTTGCCGCTGCCCAGCATCATATGAGTTTCATACTACACATCAAGAAGATCAAAGTTCAAAGTGAATGAGTATCACTTTCTCACCATCATAAAGTTAAAAAATATAAAAATCATTAAGTCAAACCATTGTAAGTTGTGGACCCTCTGTACAGACCTGAAGCTTAGAGAAGATATCTGGGCTAAAGTATAGGCCTACTCGCCGAAACCGGTTTGGCTCAGTGGATAGAGCCTCCGCCTGCAGACTGAAAGGTCCCGGGTTTGATTCCGGTCAAGGGCATGAACATTGGTTACGGGTACATCCTCATAGGGGGTGTGCAGGAGGCAGCCGGTTGATGATTCTCTCTCATCGACATTTCTAGCTCTCTATCCCTCTCCCTTCCTGTAAAAAATCAATAAAATTATTTTGTTAAACATGAATATATCCATTTACCTTAATAGTTTTTCTCCTGTTAAAAATTCTTGTTTAGAAATAGGTGGAATAGTATAGTTCAACTAATCTAGCTTTATTTATTTACTTATTTATTTTTTTGTTAATCCTCACCCATGGATATTTTTCTATTGACTTTCAGAGAGAGGGGAAGGGAGGAGAGAGAGAAACTTCAATGTGAGAAGACACATCAATTGGTTGCCACCAGTACACACCCTGACCAGAGCCAGGGATTGAGCCTGTAACTGAGGTACATGCCCTTGACCAGAATCAAACCTGGAACCCTTCAGGCTGCAGGCCAACACCCTATTCACTGGCTAGGCTAACATCTATAATAATAAAAGCATAATATGCTAACTAGACCGGACAGCCGAACGACCTTCAGGACATCATTCCAGATGTCTTTCTGGATGAGGTCGCCACAGCAGGAGCCAAGGCAGAGATAGTTAGGGGCAATCAGGCAGGCAGGGTCATTTAAGGGCAATCAGGCACACAGGTGAGTGATTGTGAGCCTGCGGTCCTAGATTGTAAGAGGGATGTCCGACAGGACTAAACTGGCAGTCGGACATCTCCCGAGGGGTCCCAGATTATGAGAACGTGCAGCCCCCACTGTGCATGCATTTTATGCACCAGTTCTCTAGCATTTTATATATAAGTACATAAACTGAAGTGTAGAAACACATAGGTTTTGCTAGTTGGTGACAAAGCTTTGGCTAAAACTGTTATCTCTTAATTCCAGAGTCCTAAACGATGCTGATACAGCTGCAGAAATCACAGTTTTGGAGAAAAAAACCTACTGAGTCAAATACCTTTTAGAGGAAAAAAATATCACTAAATTTCAAAACAACTGATTTATATCCAGGCTTATAAGCTGTAAGTCCATCACTCTTTCAATGTGGCTCCTATTCTTTTGCCTTTCCCAAGGCAGTTTGCCTAGAAAAGAAAAACTATGACATGACTTCAATGGCTCTCTTTCACAATAGCTTAGTCTTTCCCAAAGTAAGAATGAACACTAGTTCCATGACCATTAATATGTGACATTGTCAAATAAGTTTGGAAAGGAATGAACTAAAGTCAATCAGGTTTGTTTACGGAAGAGCATCTCAAAGGTATTCATAAGCTTCTATATGTTAGATCTCACAAATTAACTTTCCAATGTCTCTTACTCACCACTTTTCAGGAAATCTACATGTGCATCTTTATGATGAAGTAACTCCACATCATAATTGGCAGATGTGTTAGCATGTTGTTCTTCCTTAAAGCAAAATTTAAAATAACTTGGTTTTGTTTTCCAAATAATGAAATTATTTATTAACTATTAATTCTGCACTTTGCTTAGAATGAAATGAAATACACTGGACAAAAATTATTTACAATAACGGTATAGTTTGCTCAGTAATTAATCTATTTAAAGATGCAACAGTTTTCCACTGAAATTTAAACTATTAAAAAACTATTGCTATATATTAGTAATTCAGTATCTAATTATTTTTCTTATGTTATGTCATGAATTAACATAAGATTAATCCAGAAATTTTACAAATTTACTCTGAATGCACTGTCTTGCACAAATATACACAAATTGTCTATAAACAAATATAATGTATTTGAAATAGTTTGTATATATTGAAAGTGAAATCATCATTTAAAGGAGGGAGCAGCATCTTTAAATACCTACAATAAATTAACAAATGTCAATTATATAAAATAGCAAATACTAACAAACAAGTTTATTAGTTTTCACTAATAGTCAACAAGAATTTTTATATTATCTATTTACAAGGGGGAAAAAAGATTGAAGAACGAATCACACCATCAGCACACAAATATAGTCAAATTCTAAGAGCAAGGTATCTGTCACCCTTAGAGTATTTTTCCTTATAACCCATGAAATTATATATAATAAAGTACACCTATTATGCTACTTAACTTGTTAATTGCTTCTGCACCCATTCTATGGGTTAAAGTTACAATTTCTATTAAAGAGCCAGCCCGTGGTATAAGGAGAAAATTAATAATCAAAGATATTTCTATGCAATTTAGTATTCATCATTTGGCGGCAAAAAAATGTAATTGGGACTTATCAGAAAGTCTCTTTGCATTTTTAGATATGATGGTTACTTTACTTGTAAACATAATCAATAAAATTAAAAATAACTCCACTTAGCAAAAATTCATTTAAAGCTTACTATGGGTCAGGCATTGTGCTAGTTCTAGACAAGCTAATGATAATACGATGAAAAGAAACAGGTGGCAACAGGTTCCTAAAAATATCCATTAATAAAATCGTAAGACTCACATCTTTGGTTTTTCAGGTAAGGTTATAAACTTAATTAAAACTATGAGCTATTTTTCCCTACTTCGATTTATTAGTTATAAACACCTTTATACTTGTTGGGCAAAAACAAAAATACAGAAAACAAAAGATCAACTAGAATACACAATGTAAGGAAAATCTAATAACACAACTCAGAAAAAGAATCACAGAAAAAATGGTCATTTAAGATAGAGATTCTACTTTGATGAAAATGAGAACATAATTAAAAACAAAAAAAGCTGATATAAAGTGTTCTTATTAGAAAAAAAAATATAGCATTTTGTTCTGTGATCCTTTCTTGTTGCTTTTTAGTACTTACTGACCTGGTCAAAGACACTGAATGTGGGCTAGCAAAACAGAAAATATGATATGGGAGAAAAAAATTAAGGTTTAATTAAAATAAATATGTCAAACAAATGATTAAAAAGTAAAACAGAGCTTTTGAAATAGCAGGAAAAGGAGTTGCCTACCTTCATTGGAATATTTGTAATAGTAGTTGAAGCCAAGTCAAAATGTTGCTGTACTAAAATATTTAATTTGGTAGCAAGATGCCGTCCTGCACGAACACTATGAACTTCACTGGTTAAAACAGGGGACAACTACAGAAAGTATGAAAAAACAAAACAAAACAAAAAAACATAAAACATTAATACACTGTAACCAAGTGCTAAATAGTTTACTTCCACCCATAAAAAATGAGTGTTTTCATTTTATAGAATTTGGAAAAATACAAAGGTCCATAACTATGGTCATTATTATTATTTTTTAAAATATATTTTATTGATTTTTTTTAAAGAGAAGAAGGGCCAGGATAGAGTTAGAAACATCGATGACAGAGAAACATCGATCAGCTGCATCCTGCACATCTCCTACTGGGGATGTGCCCACAACCAAAGAACATGCCCTTGACGGAATCAAACCTGGGACTCTTCAGTCTGCAGGCCGACGCTCTATCCACTGAACCAAACCAGTTAGGGCTGGTTATTATTTTTTAAAATATATTTATTTCAATAAGGGAGAGGGAAAAATAGAAACATTGGTGATTAGAATCATTGATCAGCTGCCTCTTGCATGCCCAATAATGGGGATCGAGCCTGCAACCCAGGAATGTGCCCTTGACTGGAATCGAACCCAGGACCCTTCAGTCTGCAGGCCGATGCTCTATCTACTGAGCCAAACCGGGAAGGCACTAATGATCATTATTTTAGCAATAAATGTTCAGACATTCATTCATTTAATAAATAAGTACCAAGCAGAACTTACTACATTATATGCCAGAAACTGTGTGAACTATTGGAGGATACAGCAGTGAACAGATAAATTCACTGTCCTCTTGAAACTTAAGAGTTGTTGATTTAAATATATATTTTCATTTATAATTTTACTTCTACTTAGCTATATGAAAAATGGATTCGAAGTAGCCCACAGAAATACTGTAGAAAAATAATTCATTTTGAGAAGAGGACAATCCCCGAAAGATAGAACTACCTATAAGGAATGTGGGAATCACTACAAACATCATATTTTATCACCAATAAATAGGATAAGGCAGCCAAACTTTACTTACAACAAGGTAACACAAAAGTTCACTCATCCCAGGATAACAACATTTATTGTAAATGAGCTTTTTACTTTTACTATCACAAAGTAAAGCCAACATATTGCCATAATATCAAAAGATGCAGATAAAAGTTAGTAAAAAGGGAGCTTATACTGGAAATCACCTAAAAACACAACAATAAAACTAATGACCTAAAAATACCACATAATTACCAAGCATTCATAGACTAAGAAGGTAATACTTCACATGTTTATAAGGCTACGAGAAAAACCTGAACATATGAACATATACATTTAATACAATTATGTAAATACAGACCACTGACAGATAATATTATGTGATGCAAATCCTTTTAACAATCAACAGATTTATCTTTTCCTTCAAAAATGTTCAAATCTATTTAAAAAGGAAAACCAAAGTTGGAAATTAGTTTTTCTCCCATCTGATTGTAACTTTGTAGCCTTGAATGAAGGCCTGGGCCTGCCAGGGTGTGTGGAAAGCTTGGCCTCCTCCATTTCCTCTAATGAGGAAATAGAAGCTTTTTAAGGAATAAAACATCATTAAAGCAACTCAAACCCATTCCAATAATTGAAATTTTAGGAACAACGCAAACTACGTATGGTTGTACAACACATTTAATTAAATGTCAAAAGACAAGCAAAACAGAAAGTAGTTTTTTGTTTTTAAATCTTCACCTGAGGATATGTTTTTATATATTTTAGAGAGAGAAAGAGAGAGAAACACTGAGCCATTGCTTGTGTTTCTTAGGTAGTTCCCTGACCAGGAATTGAAACTAAAGCCTTTTGGTACAGGATGACACTTCAAACAACTGAGCCACTCAGACAAGGTTAAACAGAAAACACTTTAAAAAATGTACAATTAGGCGGGACTGGTTTGGCTCAGTGGATTGAGTGTCGGCCTGCAGACTGAAAGGTCCCAGGTTCGATTCCGGTCAAGGGCATGTACCTTGGTTGCGGGCACATCCTCAGTGGGGGGTGTGCAAGAGGCAGCTGGTCGATGTTTCTCTCCCATCGACGTTTCTAACTCTCTGTCCCTCTCAATTCCTCTCTGTGTAAAATCAATAAAATAGCCAAAACCGGTTTAGCTCAAATGGATAGAGCGTCGGCTTGGGGACTGGAGGGACCCGGGTTCGATTCCGGTCAAGGGCATGTACCTTGGTTGTGGCCATATCCCCAGTAGGGGGTGTGCAAGAGGCAACTGATCGATGACTCTCTCTCATCGATGTTTCTAACTCTCTATCTCTCTCCCTTCCTCTCTGTACAAAATCAATAAAATATATTATTTATAAAATCAATAAAATATATTTTAAAAAATAAATAAATAAAATAAAATAAAATGTACAATTATAACACAAAGAACCAACCTAGGTGTTTTGCTATACAGGTTCTTTGAAAACTGTAAATATGGGGTGGGACAAAAGTAGGTTTACAGTTGTTCTGATGAAAAAAATACAATAAATAATAATACAATAATGAATAATAATGCAAAATAATAAATAAACTATGTGTTTCATGTATTTATGTACTTACAACTATAAACCTGCTTTACCCCACCTTGCATTTTCTTAGCAGAAAATGTTGGTAAAGTGATCATTATAATACTAACCCTTGTCAGCATTTATTATTAATAACTAAAAATTATCTTTTCTCTATTACTTCTGCACTTACCTCTTTTTTAGAACGATCAGATACAAGGCTGTCTTCACCAACAGGGTAGGTATGGATCAAAACCAACTCACACTTCTGAATCTGCATGAGACTTTAAGGAAAACTTTCACTTAGGATATAAGAATTCATACTATTCTTATAAATATGGACACAATCCTCTCATATCATTGATGTTTCTATCTCTCTCTCTTTTACTTCCTCTCTGTAATCAATATATATATATATATATATATATATATATATATATATATATATATATTAAAAAGTATGGACACAAATATCCTCAACAAATTACTACTAGTAAACCAAATTGAGCAACATATAAAAATAATTATATATCATGACCAAGTGGATTATTCCAGGAATGCAAAGTTAATTTAAAATCCAAAAATTAACTAATGTGCATATCATATCAACAGAAAAAATTTTAAATACAATAATCTCCAAAAATACAAGAAAACACTTTTGACAAAATCTAAGACCTTTTCAACAAACTAGAAATAGAAGGAAACGTCTTTAAGTAGATAAATGGCAGTAAAAGAACTATTTTTAAAAAATGTTTTTAAATGAGCAAGAGTTGAAAGTTTGCTTCTAGAAAGTGGGGAAAGACTGGAATAGAGATAGCTGTTTTGCTTTTAGTATTAAGAGATGTTTTTAGCCGAAACCGGTTTGGCTCAGTGGTAGAACGTCTGTCTGCGGACTGAAAGGTCCCAAGTTCAATTCCGGTCAAGGGCATGTACATTGGTTGCAGACACATCCCCGGTAGGGGGTGTGCAAGAGGCAGCTGGTCAATGTTTCTCTCTCATCGACGTTTCTAGCTCTCTATCTCTCTCCTTTCCTCTCTGTAAAACACCAATAAAACATATTTTTTTTAAAATATGTTTTTAAACTATGTGTATTCAATGTAAAGATTCTAGGCAGGTAAACTACTGAGAGTTTAATTTACCAAAACAGCATATCTCTATAATCAGATACTACTGTTAACACAAAAGCTACATATTTAGAAAAACTGTGTAATTGTAGTTGTTGTACTTGTATGAACATTAAATGAATTAAATTCAAATGCAAAAATAATTTTTGTGTTTAAAGGATAAAAAGAAAATTCTTATAATCAGGTATAACCCTATCTAATAAAAGAGTAATATTCAAATTAACCATTACTCCAATATACTCACAAGCCACGCCCACTAGCCAATCAGAGTGAGTATGCAAATTAACCCCAACTAAGATGGCTGTGGCCACAGAGCGAGCAGGAGGAAGGTTTGGGTTTCCGTGGCAATGGAGGAAGCCAAGCTTTCCACACACCCTGGCAGGCTCAGGCCTCCATTCAAAGCTACAAAGTTTCAATTACAGAAGATAAATAAATTCCAACAGAAATGGCAGCAGCCACAGAGCTTCAGAGAACAGGAGGCTAGGGTTGCTCCAGGCAATGGAGGAAGCAAAGTTCCTGCAGTCCTAGCTGGCCCAGGCCTCAGCCTCTGTTAAGGCTACAAAGTTTCAATTATCGAAGATAAATAAATTCCAAAAGAAATGGCTGCTGCTACAGAGCAAGCAGATGGCTTGGCTCCGCTCCAGGCTACAAAGTTTCAATTGTAGAAGATAAATAAACCCTCGATATCAGGGTCTTCGCTTGGGTCGCCAGAAGGTGTAGTCAGCCTACAAACCACCACAGGCCCCTTTCCCAGACCGCCCCATGCCCCAAGGGAACCCCCACCCTGATCCGGGACACCCTTCAGGGCAAACCAGCTTGCCCCGACCCATGCACCAGGCTTCTATCCTACCTAATAAAAGAGTAATATGCAGATTGACCATCACTCCAACACACAAGATGGCTGCCCCAGGTGGTTAAAGATCCTGCCCCCATGTGGACACAAGATGGCCACCACAAGATGGCCATCAGGGGAGGGAAGTTGAAAGGGACCAGGACTGCAAGGGAAGGCAGTTGTGGGTGATCAAGCCTGCAGGGGAAGGCAGTTAGGGGTGACCAGGCCCGCAGAGGGGGGAAGTTGGGGGTGTACGGGCCTGCAGGGAAGGGCAGTTGGAGGGATCCAGACATGAAGGGGAGAGCTTGGGGAAACCTGGCCTGCAGGAGAGGGCAGTTGTGGGTGACCAGGACTGCAGGGGAGGGCAGTTAGGGGCAAGCAGGCTGGCAGAGGAACAGTTGGGCATCAATCAGACTGGCGGTGGAGTGGTTAGGATGTGATCAGTCTGGCAGGCAGAAGCGGTTAGGGGCAAGAAGGCGAGCAGTTGGGAGTCAGCAGTCCTAGATTGTGAGAGGGATGTCCAACTACCCATTTGTCGGACATCCCCTAAGGGGTCCCAGATTGGAGGGGGTGCAAGCTGGGCTGAGGGATATCTCCCCCTCATGCACTAATTTCACACACCAGGCCTCTAGTTTTCAATATGTAACCATCACAGAGAAAATTAATATATAGTGCATTAGTTTCCTTTTTACTAATGTTTTTTAAGGACAAAACCAGGCAATATTAACCTTGACCTATAATTAGTTATTTGAAGAATACAGAATTTATAATGCTAAAAAGTTTCCAACTTTTTATTTTAAAATTTCCAAACCTTTCTATTCAATGAATACTGATATATCCTTAAACTAGATTTACTAAGTGATAGCTATACTTGTTCTATGTATGTAAATAGACACACACTTTTTTTTATTATGCCATTAGATAGCAAATTGCAAAGGAAATACTTCATTCCTAAATACCTCATCATGCTTCTCCTAGTGGGATAATCTTACTTATTAACAATAATACCAGTACTCCACTTAAAGAGATTAATAATAGCTCAATCTAATTTAGACATCACATTGCAACAGCCCAAAACATTTTTAATAGCTTTTTGCTTTTAAAAAAATTCAAATACTGAAATTTATTATGTTTTAATTGGTCCATAAAGAATAATGCCACTGGCAATTTATTCACTGTATAAATTTGAAAGAATATGAGAGCAAGCGATCAAAACAAATATGCATTATAAATTTACACATTATGTTATAGTTCTGATCACTTTTCCTATGGGGAAAAAAAGTAAAATCTTAAAGTGAAAGGGAAAATAGGGAATAAAATTTCTGATCAAACATATCTTTTGACTAATTTATAGTCATAAGAGAATTCAAGAAAATTTTAACAGTTTTTATTAAAATTATTGAAATAATTAAAATGAAATATATGACTATAAAATTGAATATATATTTCATATGTGGATTATACTCACTGATCTGAATTTGCAGCAAGCTTGTTATGCTCATGAATGGTTTCCTGAACACAGTCCTCAAGCATTCGCACATGACTATCACTAGTGGCATAAAAAGATACAACAAACTTAAAGGAATAAACAGTAAGAGAAAAAATTAAACACACTCTATTCAGCTACAGGCATTTAAAATTACTTTAGTAAGGATTGTTTTTAAGTGCTCATTCACAACACCAAATAACCAACTGAAAAACTAGTGAGAAGTCAAATTAACCTACATGATGACGATCTAAAGTTTTCACTGAGATGAGTCTTTATTTTAGAATTCGATAAACAAAGCTTCAATATTAGAAAGGTCATTTGTGATGTGTTTAAACGCTAATATATCATCCCTACTTTTTAAAATAAAAGCTGTGGAAGAGTAAAAAGATTTACTGTTATTGTCTCACCTTTTTGCATTAGTAATGCAAATTATTCTCCCTCTATTTCCAACACGTTCTGCATTCTCCATTAGTAGAGTACGGGCCTCATGTTGGTATTCCGTGATTTTACAGAGGGTTTCCACTGCTGCAACAAGGCCATGGAGAATACTGCAGCATTCTGGATCTGCTCGTGGATTAGGGGGCCCAACAGCAGCTAATGCTGCCATTAGCTAAATAATGAGAAAACAATTATGGTGACAAGAATATGCACAAGTCAGACAATGGCATAATAAGAAAAGTAAATTATAAACCAGTATATCTTATAAATATGGACACAAATATCCTTAACAAATTACTACTAGCAAACCAAATTGAGCAACATATAAAAATAATTATACATCATGACCAAGAAGCCTAACCCAAGAATGCAAAGTTGATTTAAAATCCAAAAATTAGCCGAAACCGATTTGGCTCAGTGGTAGAGCATTGGTCTGCGGACTGAAAGGTCCCAGTTCGATTCCGGTCAAGGGCACGTATGTTGGTTGCGGGCATATCCCCGGTAGGGGGTGTGCAAGAGGCAACTGGTCGATGTTTCTCTCTCATCGACGTTTCTAGCTCTCTATCTCTCTCCCTTCCTCTCTGTAAAAAATCAATAAAATATATTTAAAAAATAAATAAAATAAAATCCAAAAATTAGTGCCTATCATATTAACAGAAAAAAATTTTAAATTACATTATCTCCAAAATTTTGACAAAAATCTAAGAACTTTCCAACAAACTAGAAATAAAAGGAAACTTCTTTAAGTAGATAAATGGCAGCAAAAAAATTTTTTTTTTAAATATGGAAGTATATACTAAATGAGCAAGAGTTGTAAATTTGCTTTTAAGTGGGGAAAGACTGAACTAGAGATAGCTGTTTTACTTTTATTATTAGGTGATGTTCTTAAATAATGTGCATATATTATCCTATATTGATCAAAAATTTTAAATTTATTTTTTATGAAAGTATTACTGAAACATGATGAGAAATTTTCAAAAAAGGCCACAGTTCAAAACCTGAATTATACCTCTTGCAAATTTTGGTCTTCCTGAGTCCAGGAATTTAAAACATGGGCTCCAGAGTCACTCACAATGAAATTCACCTAATAGATTTCAAAGAAATAATTAGTATTCAACTCTAATTCCATCTGGTCACATCATATTTAAATTTTAAATCATAGTTAATAATAAAAAGAATTAAAAATAAAATAATATAAGGCCTCTAGCACTGATTAGTTGGTTGAGTCATTCATCCATTTTATAGGTATACAATGCCTAGTACATGTCAGGCGCTATTCTCAGCGCTGGAGTATGGGAATAGAGTGAAGAATGAAACAGTTCTGTCACCATGTGGGGAAAACCAGAGGTTTGGCAGGTGTGGTAAGATAAGAGAGCAGTGCCGGGAACCAACAAATAAACAAACAAGATCATTTCAGAGCGATAAATGTAAAGAAAAAGATGGTTAGTTACTTTAGGTTGGTTGGACAGAGAAGAGCTCTCTCAAGTGGCAACTGAAGGAAATTCAAAATGACCAAAAGAAATCAGCCATGGGAAGAGTTGGGGATAGAGAATTCCAGGTATAGTGAACAGAAAACACAAAGACCTTTAACTGAGTTCCCTCAAAAGAATGAAGTTCTGAGCAGACGGAAGGGCAGGAGATATAGGGCACTGAAAGTCAAAATAATAAATTTGGACTTTATTAAACAAAAATAGTATCCCTGGGCCAGCATAGCTAAGTGGTTAAGTATTGACCTATGAACCAGGAGGTAACGGTTCAATTCCCCATCAGGACACTTGCCCAGGTTGAGGGCGCAATCCCCAGTGAGGGGCTTGTAGGAGGCAGCCGATCAATGATTCTTTCTCATCATTGATGTTTCTATCTCTCTCTCCCTCTCTGAAATCAATAAAAATATCTTTAAAAAATAGTATCAAGAAAGATAAAATGAAATGACCACACCCTTCTCGCAAAAGGAAACATAGTCATCATTTATATATTTTCTAATATGTCACCACCTCAGCTTATCTTCAACATGGCAGTGAGAAAAAAGGCTGTTATTCAGATGGCACAAACCAGCACAGTCTGACAAAGTGCTTACAGACAATATACCTGCTGCTTAGGCTAGCAACAATCAATGGTCAGTGCCTGTCCCATTTTGGTGTCTATACACTTTGAATATTATCCTAGTAATTACAGTAGCTACCTTATAGGGGTGTTGTGAGAATTAGAGTTAATATACATGAAGCCCTGTTGCCCGTAGGTGCTTCTTAATTATTAGTTGTCACTGTTGATCCCAACTAAATACACATGACATTTAATCCCACATATCACATTTTTAAAGTGGTAAAAAAAAAAAAGCAGTTCTAAACTTACAGCAAATTCATATATTAAAAAATGTTATTGGCAGTTAAGTACATTCCCCAAACCATCATTTCGCTTGTACTTCACACTCACCAGTTTTTTGAAAGGAAATATATCATACATTATTCTACAATATTCCATGGAAGATTCTACTGAGCAAGTCCACAATGATTTAGATATAGGGGCTAATGGGATGATTCCTTGGGTCCTATTCTTCACCAGCATATCAAACTCAACATGTTGTCTGCATGATTCTGCCATGTAAGGGCAGTGATCCACAACAAATACTGTTTTATGAGATTCGGAAAAAATCTTCATTTTGTGTTAACCTGTAAGGGATAATAAAATATATTAGCCAAAGATCTTATACATAACGTTTAAATATTACATTCTTTCTAATGTGTCTTTTCTTCAAGAAGATTTGGTAGGAAACATGCATAATCAGTATCCAAAGAAATGTACTCAACAAAGGACAAGATTTAACGAGGTCCTGACCACAAAGTATCCATTCAAGGGATGAGCTACATCACATTAAGCTGTCACTCAGTCACATGCAAAATTACAGTCCAATTTTTCTTTTTCTTTTTTTTTTTTTTTGCTTGTTGAATGAATTTAAAATGGGCACACAAAAAAATACTTTTACAAATAATTGTATTCGATCCCCTTACATAATACCAAACATAACAAACGACAAACACTTTTTCAAACACACTTTTGATGATCCTCGCTGACTGACAGCCATCGCCTCTAAATCCCCAAACTAACCCAAGCCAGCCGTTTTGAGCCTCCCTCCAAAAAGTCCCAAGACTTCTGTAAAAAGGGAAGGGGCTAGAATGTACAGGAAACAAAAGTGACAGCAACAGGAAAGACCAGAACATGACAGACATCTAACATCACTGCATATCGGGTCTTCGCATGAGGATTAAGGACCCCAAATCCACAATGTTCCCCCTTTAGCTTTCGAGCCACCACAGTCATCTACCATGTAGAACAGTGAAGCTCAGGTGCTGCCATCGCCTTGGTGGGGGGGGGGACTCTTAAAAAAAACTTTTTCTTATTAAAAAAAACTCCCTTGCTTCGCTAATAAAAAAAATCTTATGCTTCCTAGACAATCCACATTCAAACAGCACATGGTAAGCACAAGTGCTCATTAAAAACGAGCTGACTTTTTTTTACGATCCAGCTACCTTTTCTTCCCCCGCTTTCAAACGCGTTTTTCCTCCTTTCATGCACAAAACTCGTTCTCGGAGGCGTCCAGGCACACACTCCGCCGGAGGGTGCGGGGTGGAAAGTGCAAGGTGAGCGGATGAGGAAGACCTCAGCGCTGAGGTTCGCTTACTTTCGAGCCTGGTCCTGAAGGGAACACGCACGGAGGCTACGGACCGCGGCCTCTCGGGCAGAAAGGCTGCAGGTTGGGTGGGGAGGGTCAGCGCCCAGCCGGGGGTGCCCGGCGCCCCAGAGAGGGGGCTGCGCTTGGCCCGCTCATCTCTGAGCACACCGGTCCGCCCCGAGCTTCCTGAGGGCGGGAGCGCGCGCGCGTGCGCGCGGACACAAACACTCTCACACACACACCCGGGGGGGCTGCGCGCGTGCGCACGGCGCTCTCCGACGGCCCGGCCCGGCTGCCCTTCCCCCGCGGTGGGCCAGGCGCCCAGGTCGCCGAACGGGGGAAGAGGGCGGAGCCAAGAAGAAGAAGAAGAAAAAAAAAAAAAATGCGTCCGACCCTCACGATTTTTTCTACCCGCTAATTTTCCCAATCACCCATTGGGAAGGATGTTCCGGGCCACCTGAGAGCCTCCTCATCGGCGAAGTACCAACCACAACGCCGGCTGAACCAGCCACGGGCTCTTAAGGCGCGCAAAAGCCCTCCCACCCGGTCTCCCTTTCTCGGTCTCTGTATCGAGGCCGGGTCCCCTGGCAAAACTCGCGAGACTTTGTGATAAGCCAAGCCAAGCCAAAAAAAAAAAAAAAACATGCATAGGGTAACGGGGCGGGGCTTAGACTGGACCCGCCCCCACGTCTCGCGCATGTCAGGGAGAAGCTGCAAGGAAATCTCTCGGGTCTGCCCCCACGGTGACGCAAGGCAGGAAGTCTCGCGAGGTCCGAGTGCTGTGGGGAGTGCTGGTGGGACGCGGTTCCCGGTCCAGGGATGGGGCCGAGCCCTGCCGATCCCCCCGTTGCCCGCCGACTGCCTCAGCCTTGTTCGGCCGCTGCTCGCTGAAGAAGCTGAACAGGCGAAAGGACTCTCTTCCCCTGGGTGCCTACGACCCTGGCGGCAGAGGCTCTGAGTCCTAATCGCCCGACAGCTGCGAGGGACTGAGACCAGAGTAAGTGGACTGAATCCAGGGACCCGACCAGGCGGAGGGAGCGTTCGCTTCCTTTCCCTGCGCCGCTCCGGGGCTTTACTCCTCCTGAGCTACCGGTCGCCCGCGGAACCTTCGGCGTTTCCCCTCCTGGGAGCCGAACTTCCTCTCCCCGGCCTCAGCTCTGAGCCCCTCTCTCCGGGACCGAGGTTTGGAAAGTTTAATGAAAAGCTTTGGCCCTGGCCCTGGGGACACACCTTCGGGCTGTTTTCTTGCTGCCGAGCCCACCTGGGAGCTCGCCGTGGAGGGGAGGGAAAGGGGACCCTTTCTGTGTTCAATTTACCTCTTTGCAGCATTGCACATGGAGAACTCTTTTCTCCTTCTTGAAACTGCCCTCCAAGGATTGCTCCTCTTCTCCTGGTTTTCTTCCTGCCTTTATTCTGCATCCCGTGTTTGATAGTAAGTGGTATCTGCATCCATCCAATCCTGCTGGCCAAGCTGGAAACCTTCGTCCTTGACTCTGCATGTCCACTCGCACTGCTGTTATTTCTTCTTTCCCCACAATGGTGCAGGTGCCCTCCCCCCGCTGAGCTTCCCCGCCATCATCCTCCCCAATGAGTTACTGTTCTGAAATACAGATCTGTTTCTGTCACTCCCTAAACTTTTTTAGTCACCGTTTTTGCTGACAGAACTATTTCCTAATGGTTAAGCAGGATCTTGTACTATCAGCCCCGATCTAGCTTACCTTTCGTCTCATCTTGCTTCTCCAGATACCTTACTATCCAACCATGCCAGACAGCTGGCTGTTTTCCCAAACATGTTGTGCACTTTGACAGCTGTGTGCCTTTGACATTATATATATATATATATATATATATATATATATATATATATATATATGAAGCCCAATGCACGAAATTCGTGCACTCGGTGAGAGGGGTCATTCCGCCCCGCCTGTGCTTTCTTGCAGGCCGGGAGCCCTCCCGGAGATGGCTAACTGAGGCTGAGGCCTAAGCCACAGTGGGACATCCTTAATGCTGTTGTGGAGGTGGGAGAAGCTCCCGCCACCTCTGCTGTGCTCGCCAGCATGAGCCCAGCTTCTGGCTGAGCTGTGCTCTCCCTGTGGGAGTGCAGGGGGGTGGGGCAGCTCCTGCATTGAGTGTCTGTCCCTTGGTGGTCATTGCGCATCATAGCGACTGGTCTTTCCACCATTCAGTCGATTTGCATATTAGCCTTTTATTATATAGGATAATGTAATAGGAGTCCTTAGTGCTCTTAAAAATCATAGAAATTTTTGAGCAGGAAGGAGAATTGCATATTAGCTAAGTGACCTGTTTTGGGGGGTTTATTTTAAAAATTTTATTCTTATTGATTTCAGAGGAGAGGGAGAGAAAGATAGAAAAAAAATCAATGATGAGAATCATTGACTGTCTCTCTTTTTTTTTTTTTTAAAGAAGTCTTATTTTTTAATATATTTTATTGATTTTTCACAGAGAGGAATGGAGAGATAGAAAGAGATAGAAATGTCGATGAGAGAGAAACATCTACCAGCTGCCTCTTGCACACTCCTTACTGGGGATGTGCCCGCAACTCAGGTACATGCCCTTAACCGGAATCGAACCTGGGACTTTTCAGTCCACAGACCGACGCTTTACCACTGAGCCAAACCGGTTTCGGCTGATTGACTGTCTCTTGCATTCCCCACACGGGATCAAGCATGCAGCCCAGGCATATCCTCGAACCTGGAATCGAACCATGACCTCCCGGTTCAAATAGGTTGATGCTCAACTACTAAGCCATGCTGGCCGGGCGACTGACCTGTGTGAATATGAGGAACACACAAGTAGTTGTATTTGTTAATTGAGATTATGCATAATGGCAAAAACTATGCTTTTAAATAATTTTGTATTATTCTGGTATGTGCTTATATTTGAAAAATAGCAGGCTATATGTGGGAGAGAAATATTTTAGACTGCAGACTGTGTTTGGTGTATGCACATCCCATACAACTCTTCCACTGGCTCCTTGGCCCATTGGTTAGAAATCACTGGTTTAGATTAGGCTATTTCCTTCTCGATTTGTCATATCTTTTTGAAGATATTGTATATGCAACTTATATTTAGCCACAATTCTAAAGTAACGTGATTTTAAGAAATTATTCTGTTCCTTTCAACTTTAAAAATTCACCTGCATGTGCTTCATAAACCCTCAGACATATTCATTTCATCATTTTCAAGAAATGAAAATTTTCTGTGCTTTCAAATACCCTGATGTGTCTGTATAAGATGATTATTTTTATATGTAATTTGCATGCATCTTTTGCTTGATTTTTTTTTAGAGTATAAGTTTATGAGAAAACCACACTACACCTTTTTATTTTTCTATTTCCTGTCTGTTATCTACAAATTGACATTAGAGGTACCTGCCTGAGCAACCCAATAAAAATTTTTCATTAAACTAGATTGTTGACATTTGTAGTCATAGTATTTCTGTATGTCCAACTATAGGATACTGAATTTTGGGATAAAAGAGAAAGAAGAGTGACTTAAATTTCTTTAAAACTTTGTTAACCAAACTCTAAAGTTAACAGCTGTCGGTTGCTGCTATAGGTGGGTGGTAGTTTCTCTTTTATCAGCAGCAGAATGTTCTGAACCTGCTGCCAAGAGTCTGTCAGTGTCTTTGGGTGGTAAAGTAGGTGAGTATATAGTTAATGCAGGGGGAAAACCTGCTTTAGAAAAATTTCACCACCTATAGGAGATAATGTAATAATTAAGCATGATAAAAATAGGTAGATAAATTGGGAATATCCCTTTTTAAATTTTTATTTAACTGGAATATATTTTTAAAACTTGTTAGAGAGTTTGGAAATAATCTTCCTCCCACTCCACTTACCAACCCAGGAAGAGAGGGGAGAGGGGAAACACAGTGTTTTTCAAGAAAGGTAGCAAAGTTCATGCATATTATAAAACATTCTAAACTTTTCTGTGGTTTCACATACAGGAACTGAACATGCAG